TTTGGCAGAACTGGAGATTGAATTCAGGCCCGTGTGCTTGCCAGAGAAGCACTTCTACTGAGCTATCTCCCCAGCCCGAAACATTACATTTTTTTAAAATTTAATTTTTGAGACTGGCTTTTTTTTTTTTTTTTCCTGCTCAGTAGTATGTTTTCAAGATCCATTTGTGGAGCTGTTTGTTTTTACTAGTGTGATATTTTGTATTGCAATTGTAATTTGTTTATCTGTTCAGTTGTATGGGCAGTGTGGTCATTTATGTAGTCTCGGGTACATTTTTTTTTCCCAGGCATAGTTTATGAATACCATCTTTCTTTTCTCTTTCATCAGTTTTATTAGTTGTTTGAAAAGAACCATCTTTTAGTTATATTGGTGATCTATTTTATTTATTTCTGTGGTTCTGTGTTATTTCTTTGATTTCTGTCCTATCTTGTTCTCCCTACCATCAGTATTATTTTTATCCTCTTGTCCTCCTGTAGCCTATAACTTTGAATCTTTTCTCATGTGAACCTTTGACTTTCAAAATTCACCTTAAGTACTACTTACACTGGTCCTCACAATTACGTTTCTAGGCTAGAGAAGTTTACATTTAAATATCTTAATTGCATTGTGTTGTGGTCAAAAGAACTTGATCCATATGGCCATTTTATTTTTTTAACTTGTGAAAATTGACTTTATGACTTGTTTTGTGATTAGTATTTTTTAAATGTTCTATGTGAGCTTGAGATTGATGTGCATCATTTTCTAACTGGTGTGCACGGGGTTCTTTATGTTAGAATCAAAGCAGAATATATTTACTGGGAAGAGAAAGCTTCTGCTGAAGAGAGGGGGGAAAAGGGGGGCCTGAGCGGGTTGTCCTGGGCATGATCATGTCTTATTATGTGGCCCGTATACATGTGCCTCTGCTTTTCTCATTTTTCTCACCAGTTGGCCTATGTTTCTCCTCCACCTCTGTACTCAGGCACCTTTCTGATTCCTAAGCCTCCAGTAACCGCTTAGAAGATGCTTATTTGTACAGTCTGCATGTCCTTCTGCACGGTGTCTGGGTCCGTGTACTCCCCATCTTATCGGACCTGCTCTTCAGATGCTCTTTGTTGGTTTGTAGCCTCACAACACAGTGTAATCTTTTTGCATTTCAGTGACTTATCAAGCTGGGCAGTGTTTCTCCAAAACACTGACTAAAAATAGGTATTCATTAAATGGTTGTTAAATAACAGTGATTTTTTTTTTTTTTTAATTTTTTTTTTTTGAGACGGGGTCTCATTGTGTTGTCCAGAGTGGCCTCAAACTTGTGACAATCCTTTTGCCTCAGCCTTTCAGTGTTGGGAATACAGGCATGTATCACCATGTCCAGCAAGCTTCAGTAGACACAGAAATGTTAGCATCCTAAGTAGACAACCTAGTGCATTTCCACAAGTTACATATGTCCATGTGAATACCTCCCAGATGAAGAACCATTACCAGTACTCAAAGGTGTCCCACACTGAACCTGCTTTTCATGCACCAAACATCCCCCTTACTGGGTTAGCTGCTGTACTGATGTGTAACACCATTAATTCCTCTCACTTGTTTTTTATCTTAGTGTAAAGTGTGTGTGCATTTTGTGTCTTTTGTCAATCTTGTGACTATGCTGTGTGCAGCTGTGCTTCAGGTGCTCTTGCTATGCATCAGAATAGTTCTCGCCAATTCCAGTGTCACTCTTCTCTTTTATTATAGAAGGACCTGAAGAGGAAAAAATGGAAACAGATACAGATAGTCAGCAGCCTGACAAGGTAAAGTGGTTGAGGGTGAGTGCCTTATGAGTATAATGGCTGGGGCTAGTGTATGCCTGGCTCCCTTTCAGAGGACTATATAGTTTTATCAACACTGGGCTTCCGTTGTTTAGCATAGTTCTCTCAAAGCATGATATAGGACACTTTACTTTTGTTTATTTATCTGCTAAATCTCCTCTCCCCTGCTGTGCCTCTTTCAGGCACAGGTGGAAGTGTGAGTACAAAAGTGCTTAGTGTGAATATTGACCTGTAGGGTTTAGATCTCTTCCCTGTCAGAAGAGAATTACAGAATAGTAAGTGATTTCTTTAGAAAAGTTAATTGGCAGCAGAATATTTAGAATAGAATCAATGCAAAGCCACTATTTGCAGTAGTTTTTAAGGAACAGATAGAAGTGTTGAAAGACTGAAATAGAGGCAGAGGAACCCAAGATTATATCCACAGAGGGAAGAGACCCTAAGCCAGTATGACCCTCAGAGCACCACTGTGTCCTGGCAGAGTCCCTGTTCACACAAGGCAGTGACGGTGATGTGCTGGGCCTCATCAGGAGCCTCAGTGTGTTGCAGCCCGCAAAAGGGGTCAGTTGCTGTAAGAGAGGAAACTAGCCGAATATGAGTATGGTCTTGATTACATGAAAAGATGAGGGGGACAATAAAGTGATTATAGTTACTTCATTGTTCTACTACCATGCTTGGATTTTATGTCTGTGATTTCACATCTTAAAGCAGTAATACTTTGCCCACTTTATACTCCATGAAGTATAATTTGCCCAAGGTTATAGGCGTTTTGCAAAACCAGCAAATGGTACCAGATGATACCAACTAATTCCCTGAGATTCTTTTGCACATCCTAACCCTGTGATCCCAGATTGAGCAGGGACCATACTCTGGAGATTGATGATGTTGTGAGCCCTCAAGTGTTGATCTGGGGAAAAAAATACTTCTCTGGATTTATTCATTTTCCTGCCAGCTCTTCTACACAGGGCCTTTGTGAATCTAGTGAATCTTGTCCTTTTTGTTTCTGTGGCTTGTTTTTATTTATTTATTTATTTATTTTCCATAATTTTAGAGATAAATAGCAATGAGACAGTTTCAAATCTTATTGGTAGGACAGGTTTAATAATTAACACATTGCATACTCTCTTCCTAGTGATTATTTGCTGTACAAGATGCTGACATGATATCCTATTTACAAACACTATTACAACAAATCCCTCTATTCATTAAGAGAATGTAACTATATCCTAGCCATTTTGAATACACAGATACAAAATGGACATTCATTTATATATCCCCTTTTTTGTTTAGTTCTGTTATTTGAATATTATAGGTGTGTTAACTCAGCAAAATATTCTAAAAGAGTCCAGTAATCCATAATACTATTGGGTCTTCCGCTTGACTAGAAGTGTCAGAAATTGTTGACCTGTGTATTCAAAATGGTTAGGATAGATATATAGTTACATTCTCTTAATGAATAGAGGGATTTGTTCTATTGGTGTTTGTAAATAGGATACCATGTCCGCATCTTGTACAGCAATTAACCACTAGGTAGAATGTTTGCAGTGTGTTAATTATTAAAACTGTCCTACCAATTTGATTTGAAACTGTCTCATTGCTATTTGTTTGTCAATAAAATTATGAAAAAAAATATATCTATATATATAAAGAAATCAGCTGCCCTTGCCTTGCTGGAGGCTGCTAGGTCACTGCCCCAGAGCTGCCTGCCCTACTGAGGAACACAGAGCTGCACACCCTGCCCTGCAGACCAGCCCAGACCTGACTTCACTTCACTTCGCTTCGCCCCAAGGAGCAGCAGAGAATCTGCTCCCGGTTCCCATGGAAGCCAGCTTTGCAGAGGCACCCGAAGCTCAGGGCCAGACACACCGGCTTGTCTACTGACCACCGCAGGAAGACACGCCCGCAGGGCTCCGGGTCCAGCTGGAGCTGCTGCAGTTAG